ATTTTCAGTTTGCACTTTTGGCCGCGCCGGGTCAAAAACAGATGTTCCCCGAGATCGACCTTCGGGCCAAAGTGCACCCGACCCACCTCAGAGCGAGCAGCGGTGACGTCTCGCGACCGCGGCCGACCCACGACGATCCCCCATCTCCCCCCTCGAAACACATGTGAGACTCTCTCCGTCTGTACAGGAGAGCAAAAACAGACCTTAAATATTCTAAAATACGATGAAATATTGTTATATTCAGCAAAATAAATCTGACAGTTTTACTAACGACCATAAAAACCAACCTTAAAATTAGAAATAAAAGCTATTTAATGTTATTTAAGAGTCTTAAAATAAGTATTTTGGTCATTTTATTGAGCTGAATTTAAGAATTTGTACCTTAATCTGAGATTATTTAATCACTTTATCTTAAATTAATGCACCAGAAGCTTCTTATTTTTAACATTTTAACTTAATAACACATTTTAAATAGCAGCTTTTCTTTCTTTTCATTCAATCTTGAGCTCAGATGAAGGAAGTTCCTCTAATGGCCACTAGAGGCTGGCTCCAGCAGTGAGTCTCCATAAGGCTCCATATTAAAATGTCCAACTTTACAGCAGAAACAAACATGTTTACAGCCTGATACATAAACAGTTTTGGTGTCTAGACATAATTTATGCTTTTATGATGACTGTACAGAGGGTGAAGTTATATAACACTCTGTTTAAATTATATTAAAGCTTAAAGTTCTGCATCATCCACATTTGACACAGCTGTTGAGTTTATATTCGGGTTAAACAAACAAGCTTTAGAGGCTTTTCTGCTGCTTTCAATAGTCAAATATTTTCACATATTTCATCCTGCAACTGCTGGAAACAACTAATCCTAACAGCATTAATACGGCCACCATGTTGTCCGCCTGTTAAATCCACATTAATTTGCCTCGGCTGTAAACTCCCTCGTTCACGCTGACAGCAAACAACAACAACAGAGACACAGAGAGACGATCTTCACTGACACACGAGTGTGTACACTGTGTGTACAGTTTTATAATGTAGTTCAACAGCATATTATATATATATTTATATTTATATATCAGTGTTTGATTCTGACAACCATTTAAAATCACTGTTGTAGAGGCAGCTGTATTTGTTTGGACACAGGCAGGCTAGCTGTTTCCCCCTACTTCCAGTATTTATGCTAAGCTAAGCTAACGGCGTCCTGATACTTAAAAGTCTAATAAGTTTCTCTTCTTGTTTTTGATTTTCGCTGTGCAGAACGACGAATGTGCAGCAGATGTTTGTGAATGTAAAAATATCTCCCTTTAAAAATCGCACGATTTTGTGAGTTACTGAGCGAGGAGAACATTTATTGTCGTTGTTCAATGTTATCTACAACAGATTGTTTATTATTTGGGCTTTCTTCTGAATTCGGGATGTTATTTGTTACTTATTTGACTCCCAGCGTGTTAATATATGTCTGAAGGAAATGCTCAGCTATTATTTCAACCGTCAACATTTTGTTCCCACATTCAGCCCAAAATAAAACTGTAGCAACAGTAATCCGATACTAACTGCTACTATAACTAACAAGTAATGAAACGCCGTCCGGAGCATCAAATCCACCTTGATTTGCTTCAGCTGTAAAACTCCTTCTCAAACTGAACGCCCCCCCCCAAAAATAATTAATGCACATTAAAAAAACACACAAAGAGGATTATCAGCAGGACGAATAATTCCTTCTTTTTTTGTCATAAAATATGAGGATTTATACTGTCTTGCTTCTTAAAGAGAGGTTGAGCAGCCATCAATCACTCTGGGTCCACTGCCAGGAAGAATTTATTTCAAGGTCAAACTGATTAATTTCAAGGCTCCAGTATTTTCTACATTTTAAGCTCTGACGTCTCAGTTTGTGCCAGTTGTTTTTTGGCTTTTTATACATAAAAATGTTATGTATTTTTTCTAAATAAAGTGACTTCACTGCTTGGACTATAATCTATGCAAATTATTTTGAACCCAGAGAAAAAGTCGTGCAGCAGATTCATGATCATGTAAATGTGATGCGAATAATAAAAAAAGAGGCTGAGAATTATGTGAGGAGGGGAAACGTGTGAGGAAGGTTTTTGCTGTTGCAGTTAAAATTCAGGTTTTTAAGGTAGAAAATGGATTTTCCTAAAGAGAAATAAAGCAGCTTAAAATCCAATATAGACAAAATACTGATAGTGAACCGCCGTCTGTGGACTCAGAAACTCTATTAGAAATCCACAAAACTGAACAAAACTATGAATTCTGTTTACGTTACGCAGTCGGTCCGATGCAGAAGTTTGTCACTCTTAACTTTTGACTTTGACATAATTTTCCACAGACAGATTTTAAAGCTCTCTAGGATATTGCGTTTGGGGTTTAGGGAATATCACAAGCTAGGTAATCTTGATTGGGGATGACAGTCCCCTTACACTGTCAACATGCTATTTTTACCCAGCTCATTGCACATTATTGCCCTCAGGCAACCCAATCCCATTTCATCTCTTACCCTCCCCAAAAATCTCTCATTATTAAAACATGCATTTAGGCCTATCAGCCTCCATCTGAGGACACTGATGAGGACACGTTTGATAGATCAACAACAACAGATCCAGTTATTGTGTTAGCTGGTAAATCAGAAGATTTCTTAATGGATTTAATCTTGTTCATCTCTGAAGTTTGAGACTCTTTACCTGCTTATATTCTCTGTTTTTATACTACTAATAACACATATATGATCCGAATGACATGTCAGCATTAGCATTGAGGGATTATTGTATTATAAAAGCAGTGGGAGCAATGAACTGTTGTTTACACTGATTTAGTTTATAGAAAATCTTCATGCTGTTTTATTGTTTTTCTACAGTTTTGTTGGGTGTAAATGTTATTTTTAATTTAATTGAATAATAATTAACATGTAACTTCCAGACTAAGAGTCTCTGCAGACGTCCTAGTGGCTCTGAGAGGCTAAATACTATAACATTAGCATGCTAACATGCTCAGAATGTCAATGCTTGCATGTCGGGACCCCCCCCCGACTACGGGCCGTGAGGGCTTCTTGATTAAATATGATATGAAAATATACAGTAGGCCTAAAAAGGATGCAGTTATAATAACCCGCGAGCAAATAGAACAAGCACCAGGGAGAAGAAAACGCTGAATCTGTCAAAAAGAAGCCTATTAAGTAAAAAAAATACACAATACAGACAGAAAAATGTATAAAAAGTTCTTAAAAATATCAGAAAAACTAATAATCTGCTCAGAATTCATCAAAATCGCTCATTTTACACAAACTTCCTGCTGTTATTGTTATTAATTAAATATGATATGAAATAAAGTCAGTTTACTCAATGATAGAAATAAGGGCTCCTTGAGGAAAAAGGTTGGGAACCAGT